GTCTGCCTCTGCCGCTCCTGCCAATTAGCTCACTTGCACACTCAGCCATCCTACCTAATCCTCTCTGCGGGAGTCCCATTTTCATGGTGTGATTTCCCTGCCAGCAACGACAACCCGGAAATCCCATCGCTCACGAGTTAAGTTTCAGGCTCTAGAGCACGCCAGAGCGAGGTGAGAGAAATTGTCTAAGGGGCTCCACTCTCAGCTGGTCCGCGTGCCTTCGGAGGCCACAGCTCTGCCTCTCGGCTGCCGCGGTCCCCTGTGGTTTGTGAACAAACCGCTCCCATCCGCGGCTCGGGATCTGGATCCCCAGCAGCAAAACACCGAGACTGATCTAGCCTTTGAGCCAAACAGCAGGCTTTGCCCCCTCTGGGCTCCACGAGTTCCTCCCGGACACCGTCCCTGTGTCCTTGCATCCTTCAGCGGGCATCTCGCTGCGCTCAGCTGCCCGGTGTACTTCCTCGTACAGCAAGGCAGCACTTACCTCTGGCATCTCTTCATCTTCTTCTTCAGAGGACACCTCTTCCTGCGTGCTCTGCAGGGACAAAAGGACAAAGATCGCACCGTCAGCTTCCTGAGGCAACGCTCTCCTGCCTTCCCAGACGCTTCTGAGGCAAGGTTAAACAGGAATTTACAAGCAGAACCGAGTTAAAAGCAGAGCTAAGCCGAGAACCTTTACAGGAAGCTACACCAGAGCAGCTACGCAGCACCAAGGCCCAACGGAGCAGGCTGGCATCACCCAGGACAGGAATCCACCCCAGGGAGATCAACACCTCACCTGCTGCGTTCCTTCTTCGGGGTTAGGAAGCCTCAGCCTCTAAAGCAAACTCCAGGGAACTCACTTTATGAACGTAAAAAGTCTCCTCCCCAGTAACCCACCTGTTCTGCCGGCAGAGGCTGGTCCAGCATTTCAACATCTGGATGTTGGGGGAGGTTGTAGAGTTTGCACAGGTCGGAGATTATTCGCTTCAGGTGCTGCAAAAGCTGTCCAGAGAGCAGACAAGTGTCAGAGAAGCGCACAGACCCACACGCCAAGCTGAGCCTCGGCTGTCCTCCGCACTACAACGCTTTCCCTCGCAAACGAGCGAGCAAAGGCCCAGCGGCCGCTCCTTCCCACACAGCACGGCTCCGCGTTTTTTTTTGGAAAAAAAAAAAAAAAAAAAAAAAAAAAATCACACCCCAGCATCAAACTCAAGAGAAGTCAGAGGTGCTCATCCCAAATCTCCTGAACCCTTCTGGGACCTGACACCCCTCCCTGCCTCGGGCAGT